CGCGGGCGGTGCGGTATGCCGAGGTGGCCGGCCTGCCTGTGCAGGTGGGTTGCAGTGCCCTGCGGCAGCCCCCAGCTCGGCGTCTTGCACGGACGCAGCCGCTCCCTGTTGCAGCGGTAGAAATGCGGGATGGCTGCATGCGGCCTGGTGTTACTGCAGGGAAGGCAGGGGCGCTAGACAGGAGCGTGTGGGAGGGTTGGACGGGTTGGGAGGCCAGAGGCTGATCGCAGGCAGTCACGCGTTTTCTGGAACAGGAAGCCACGGATGCAACGTGTTTGCTTAGGACTGACTGCGGGCTCTGGCAGGATCTCGAAGTAGCACAGCCCTCTCTCCGTCCAGCCTCCTGGAAGTGCCTGGCTCCGAGTTTCCCAGCTCGTGGTGCTAAATGCTCCTTTTGCCCCCATGCAGTATGGCCTCTATTCTTCCTTCATGGGCTGCTTTGTCTACTGCTTCCTGGGAACTGCCAAAGATGTGACGCTGGGTCCCACTGCCATCATGTCGCTGCTTGTCTCTTCTTACGCGTTCCATGATCCCGTCTATGCCGTCCTGCTTGCCTTCCTGTCGGGCTGCATCCAGCTGGCCATGGGGCTCCTACGTCTCGGTGAGATGCTCTTGCTTTGTATGGTCGTGTTTTTAGGATGTTGCTTATCCTGTAACTGTTCCCTCTCCTCCCTTGTGCTCTCTGAGACTCTGGGGTTGTCCTGCTAACGTATGTGACAGCTCTGTGTGCGTGCAAACACCCTGCACTCCCAACATCGGCCTGCAGGCAATTTACTGCCATCCCTGTCCCATGCAGGTTTTCTTCTGGACTTTATATCCTGCCCAGTCATTAAAGGGTTCACTTCAGCTGCTTCAATCACCATTAGCTTCAACCAGGTCAAGGTAGGATCTGCTGATCTGCTCTGAAGTCCTTGCTCACTGGATGAGAGTGTTGTGGAACCAGGATGTTTAGTGCTGGGCTGGGCAGGCAGGTCCCACTGCCAGGGCTTCTGGTGGGCCCTGTCCCCTGAGCGCCTGCCCTCTGAAACACACCCTCCTCCCTGGCGATAGCCAGGAGCGAGAGATGGCAGCAATCAGGACATCTAGTGGAACCACGAAGCACGTTTGATTTGGCCACTCGATGGAGGTGTTGGGTGACTCTTTCCGGCCTGCTGAGATTGGCTGCGAGGCTTGGTGGGTTCAGGGCTCCACCAGTCCCTTGCTGGTGTCTCAGGGGTCTGAAGCATTCGGGCTCTTCTGGAGCAGCAATGCTTCCTTTGTGGTTAACCAAAATCAGACAGGCTTAGGGGCATGGCGTGAGGCTTTGCGAGAAACCAGAGGACCGATATTGGCTAATGGCTGTGGTTGCAGCTAGTGTTTCTGCAAGGAAGCTGGGAGCTTGCTGCTGCTGCTTCCCAGCAACATGCAAGGAGATATCGGGCTGGGTGGGCTGGGGGTGAGACAAAGATCCCAAACAACTGCTTACTGGGAGGTTGTGTGTAAGCAGGATGGGGTGGAGGCAGGCTCAAGGTCAGAGAGCTGCGGAAAAAATTAGAGCTAGGGAACCTCTGAGGTCTCCCTGCATAGGGCTACGCAGGGAGAGGTCCTTTCCTGAAGGCTGCGTGAGGGAATGCGATATAGTCCCTGATGAACCTTCCCAGCTAGCAGACGGCAAAGACCTTGTGGGTGCCAGGGCCCTTGGGGAGGGGCATCGCCGAGCTTCTGTGCTTCTGGCTGTCCCTCCAGGGCACTGGGAGCTAGGACTGTGTGGGGTTTCCTGAGGCTTTGTCTTTTTGCGCAGAACATCCTGGGACTGCAGGGAATCCCTCGGCAGTTTTTCCTGCAGGTGTATCAAACGCTGAGGAGGATCGGGGAGACCAGGTCAGTGTCTGTCCCTGCACCTTCCCTGCTCCATTCCCCTCCTGCAGGCGCAGGGGCCATTGCTGCTTTGCTACAACTGTCTCTTGGGTCACACCAGGCTCCTTGGACCAATTTCTCGGTCTCTGCTTAGTGCTGTTGCACGAGAACACATTCTCTGTCCTTTCCATCTGTGCTGGAAATTTGAAGATGGGGGAGTACGTGGGCTCCCAAGTTGCTAGAAGGGGAGAGGTGGGGCACACTTGTCCTATTTTCTGCTCCCGCTTAGGTAAATCAGATTTTGCCAGTCCAAAAGCACATCCTTGAGACCATCTGTGTGTAGCATCCCCTCCTCCAATTTGTGACAGTCCAAGAGGGGAGCTCGATGATTCCTGCACCTCCCTGCCCTCTCCCCTGTTAGCGGCACCCATGGCTCTGGGGCTGCGCCGCAGCCCCAGGTTCCTCGCATAGCCCAGTAACCTGCAGTTTTGGCCTCAACACGAGTGGCAAAAAACCTGCACTTTGCAGCTGGGAGGGGCTGCAATGGGAGGGGGAAGACATGTTTGTCCCACATAACCTGAGTGGGAAGCAGATCCTGCCACGTGGATCCTGCCTGGTCCTTTTCCATTTTTTATGAAGAGGCAGTCCACAAACCCATCAGCATCCTGCAACTAGCTGGAGAAGACCCTCTTTTCCCTCTTCTGCTGCCTCCCAGCAAGGTGATTTTGCCAGTGGTGCACAGGGGCCACCAGGATCCCTGAGAGCTGGGCTGCTCCCTGTCTAGCATGGGTATACGTTCTTCCTTCCTCGCGCGAGCCGTTGCAGTGGCTCTCCCTGTGCACTGCAACACGTTTGGGTTGGCATCGATCTGACCTGTTTGCAGGGCTGGGGACGCCATCCTTGGGCTGGTCTGCCTGGTGGCACTTACAGGGCTCGGGGCAATGAAGAGTCGCCTCCCCAGAGCTCCCAGTGTGGAGCCGCTGTCCACCAGGGTCAGTTATCTCATCGTCTGGATCTCTGCCACGGGTGCGTTGGCCTTTCTCTGCCCTTTCTCCTTCCAATGGCAGTCCTTCCTGTGGTCTCAGCCTCTTTTGGAGCAGAGGAAGAGGGGAGACCTGCAAAGAGGAAGAGATAGCCTAGATCTGATTGAGGTTGGCAGGAGCTGAATCCTAGAGGTGGGTTGGGGAGGATAAAATCATCTGGATGGTCCTGCCACTGTGCATGCCCTTTTCTAAGGCTAGAAAGGCTCCAACCCCACTCCCCTTCCCCCCAGCCTGGGTACCTACCTCCTCTGGTCCCTCCTGCTACCTTGGGGCTCATGGCAATGTTTCACCATAGGTATCTTCTCTCCACTGTAGCGCGTAATGCCCTCGTGGTCCTGTTTGCTGGCCTGGTTGCTTACTCCTTCCAGGTGATGGGCTCTCAGCCGTTCACGCTCACTGGGAAGATCCCCCAAGGACTTCCTGCGTTCCAACTGCCGCTGTTTTCTGAGGTCGCCCCCAATGGCACTGTCCCCTTCAGCAGGGGGTTCTACCAGGCTGGCTGGAGAAGGCTGGACTCCCCCGGGGATTACTTTCTTGTTGCTCAGTGTCATCTTAAATACCTGAGCAAACCTGAGTGCAAAAGAGTTCCTCCTGGGAAGGGGCAGCTCCTCCTTTCAGCTCTGATGCTCGGTCGGAGGGGGGAAAGGGCTGTGCAGTGTCGTGGGAAGCACTGCAGAGCATCCTGTCAGCACTTGCATTCGTTGGCTTTTCTCTTGCGACATTCACCTTGTCCTTCCCTCCCAGGACATGGGAGCCGGACTGGCCGTGGTCCCGCTCATGGGCCTGCTGGAGACCATTGCGATTGCCAAGGCTTTTGGTATGGCTGTGTCAGGATCCCTGCGCCTTCGCTCACAGGAGGGGTCTCGGAAGGGGCCGGGGGGTTGCTGCTCACAAGGAGGCAGTGGAAGGGAGGGCCAGGGGCTGCCCTTGCTAAGCCGGGCTCGTAGTGTGGGGTGGCAGAAGTGGTCCCTGGGGAGCGCTGCTGGGGGGACGCCCTATGGGCCCCTCCCCTGGCAAGGCAGTTCCCGCATACCTGAACGGGAAGTGGGCATGGGGGTCCCCCTCGCTGTCTCGGGTCTGCTCCCCCGCCCTGGTGGGGGTGCTGGGAAGGGGCCCCCAGGCTGTCCCTCCGCTCCAGGGCACGTTGGGCTGGGCTGGGCCTGTACAAAGCTCTGGGCCATGACGGTTGTCTCCTTCTTTCAGCCTCACAGAACGATTACAGGATTGACCCCAACCAAGAGCTACTGGCTATGGGTGAGAGGCTGCTCGGAGCGGGGCGAGGGGAGGCTCTCTGGGACGGTGCAGTGGGAATCCGGCCCGAGAGCAGCTGGGTCCCTTCTAGCCCTTTCCCAGCAGGAACTGGAAACCAGCCCCTGGGTGCTGCATGGAGGGGGCCTGTGCTTGTCCCCTCGGGTCACTGTGCTCAGGGACCTTCTCTGTGTGTGAAGGGACTCTTCAAGCAGGACGTGCAAAGCTCAAATGAACAAGCAGTTATAGACACACAAAAGATACCTGGGATTTAACAAGCTCCTAGGTGAAGCCTTAGTTTGTCTGCCACCTCAATAAGGTACCTGCAGAATTTTTCTGCTCAGGCAGGAGGAGAGCGGTTGGTCCCTGCTCCCAGGAACACGTCCTTCGTGGTGCTGAGTCGCTGTGTGCTGCTCTCTCTTTTTCCCTTTAGGACTTTATATCTTTCCATAATGGTGTTTATCCTTCTCAGCTATCGGTGATTCCCATCTCAACAGTCCTACCTCTATCTGAAGTTTTAGCTCTCTTATCCCCCCGGCTCCCCTCCACAGCCTTTTGCCCAGCTTAGCCATTTCCGCAGCAGTCTGAGCCTAGCTCGCGTGGCCGGACGGACTCAGCTCTGCCAGGGAAGGCGAGGCGGGAGCGAAGCGCGATAAAAGGCAGTGCGAGCAGCGACCTCTCCAGCAAGGAGGTGGGATGCTGCGTGGCCCAGCCAGGTCAGGATCAGGGGTAGGCACAGCCCAGCAAGTCCATAGTGACGAGGCAGGTCGGCGGCCAAGCTGGCGGGTCTGGGAGGAGGTGACAGCAGGGAGTCAGGCTGCTCTCCCAGCCGCCGGGCAGTGCCGCTGGCTGCTATGTCCACAGCCCTTCTCCTTCCCCCACCGCAGGCATCACCAACATCCTGGGCTCTTTCGTCTCATCGTACCCTGTCACAGGCAGCTTCGGGCGGTGAGTAGCAGGCTCTGGAGTGGAGGCTTGGGCTGCAGGACCCTTGTTGGGGTGTGCAGCGAGGGGGTGCTGGAAGATCTCGGGAGCAGGGTTGCATGGACCCTGGGGTGTCCCTGCACTAGTGTCCAAGTCCCCATTTGCCCCCATTGGCTTCTGAGCTGCACACGGGTCACCTGGCTGCCTGCCCTCTCGCCTTTGCTTCTCGGGTCCTCCGCGGTCCCTCTGGAGGCCAGCAGCCTTGGCTGTGCTCATGTTTCTCCCCAACAGGGTCTGAACAGGCGTGATTTTCCCTGCCCACAATGCAGTGTGTGCCCGGGTGGGACCTGGGTCTCTGGGCTGCAGGTCAGAGGGACCGCGAGTCCCGTGCAGCCCCCGCCCCTGCCATGCCACAGCCTGGGACGGCGCCTTCGCTTTGTGTTTCAGGACAGCGGTGAATGCGCAGACGGGTGTGTGCACCCCCGCGGGCGGGCTCGTCACAGGTAGAGGCTGCGCCGCCTCCCCGCAATCCCTTTTGGGCCGCCCCGGAGCCCTCCGTGCCCAGCACCGCCTACCTGACCTCCTTCTTCTACTACATCCCCAAAGCGGCGCTGGCTGCCGTCATCATCTGTGCTGTGGTTCCGATGTTCGACGCTGGGATCTTCAGGACACTGTGGCGGGTTAAGAGTAAGGGCTGGAGCCCGGGGCTGTTGGATCCCCTGTGTGCGTCAGCTCTCCGTGCGGAGCAGTCGCCCTGTGCAAGGGCGGATGAGGGATGTTGTAGCCTCTTGGGGCCGCCAGTGGGAATTCTGACTGCTGTTCCCCAGGGACACGTGTCCACCTGGGTGCCAGGCAAGCGGGGAAGATTTGGCCAATACCCTAGAAGTACCACAGCCCTTTCCCTTTCCAGGGGGCTGTGAGTAGCCAGCAGCTCTGGCCTGGGATTTCTCCCTTGCTGATCCAAGCTCAGGCTAGAAGGGCTCTGCCCTTACTCCAGAGACTCTCCCATCCTCAGCTGTGATGGCCTTGGGTTCTGTGGGCCCAGATTTGAGGCCTGAAGCACCAGAAGTTAGGATTTTGCATCAGCCCTGGCAGTTCCTCCCACATTGCCCTTTGCTCTTCCCTCTGCTGAGTTACAAACCAGGCACGCAGGGATTTTCCGACACAGGCACAACCCTGAAGGGCCCTGCGGCATGAGGACAAGGTCAACCCAGGACTGGGCTCTCTCTCTTGCAGGGCTGGACCTTGTGCCCCTGTCCGTGACGTTCCTGCTCTGCTTCTGGGAGGTCCAGTACGGCATTGTGGCCGGGGTGCTGGTCTCAGGGGTTCTCCTGCTCTACCCCATTGCCAGGCCCCCAATAAAGGTGGGCTTCACCTTGCCGTGGATGCACTGGGGCCAGCTGCGCTTGCCAAGGAGTGGGGAGTTGGGAGAGGGCTCCCTGTGAGCAGCAGATACCGGGAGAGCTGGGGCGCAGGATATTTTTTCTGTCCTGCTTCTGCCCTATCCCAAATAGGGATCGGGGCAGTGCAGGGACTCATTTCAAGGAGCATGAAGCAATGACAATCCAGGAAGCTAGGAGATGGAGAGAGGCGTTGCTTTCCCTGTTTGTGCTGGGCGTTTGCAGGAGGGGAGTTTCCACGAGGAATGGGGGCTCCAGCATGTTCCCCTCCAGCAGGAAGGACGATAGTTTGCTTTGTCACACATGCAATTTCCCCTGCTTGGGGAAGATCACAGCCTGTCCTGTGTCCTTCATCCCTCCTTGTGACATGCCACCCTCTGCTCTGGGGTCTTGCACAGGTATCTGACCGGGGAGAGCTCCTCGTGCAGCCTGGGAGCAGCCTGCATTTCCCAGCCATTGAGTACCTGCGGGACACTGTGTGCAGACACGCTCTGGCAGGTACAGCTCCTGCTTCCTGGCCTGTCGGCTTGGCCTGGTATCCTGTAACCCTGTGCCCACCTGCATCACTTCTGTAGGGGGTGAAAAGCGCTGGTCTCGCTGCTGCAGACTACAGATATAAGCAGGGACAGAGCAGCTTCCTGTAGTGGGGACCAGCCCCTGGTTCCTGCCGTGCTCCCAAGACCCCTTCTGTTCTCACCCCCTCCAGCCATGGCTGCTCCTGAGCCACCTCCTGGGAGCTCACCAGCTTGCTGGAGCTGCAGCTCTTTGCAAGCAGAGGTTGGGGAAAGTTAAAGAGGGACTTTGGGATGTTTTGGGCTTTATGTCCAAGTTTATCTCCCTCTAGCATGATCTGGCTCTATGGGAGCAGATTTCTTGTGCGTGCTTTGGCTGGTTAAGGATGGGATATGCAATGGCCCAGCTGAAGTCAAATGCAGCTTTTGAGCTGCCTGATCCCACAGGACTGAGTCCTGCTTAAAGAGCTGTATCCCTGGGATGGTTCATTCTGGGCTCATCAGGGAAACGACCGCATGCTCTTCTTCCAGCAGCGTCTTCACCATGCTCCGTCATCCTGGACTGCCGCCACATCAGCAGCATCGATTACACAGTGGTGGTGGGGCTGGCAGATCTGCTGCAGGAGCTGCGCAAGGAAGGCCTCTCCCTGGCCTTCTGCGACCTGCAGGTATGTGGGCGGCAGAAAGCTGCCGCAGGGCTGACCAGGACCATGCTGTTGTCCTGCTGCTTCCTATCATGCCAGGTATCAGCCATGTTCTCTAGAGGAAGGGTTCCTGCAGATGAACCCAGCCAAATTGCCTTCCTCTGCACCAGTGGCTGCATTGCACTTGCAGAGAGCCTTTGGGTTGCACCAGCCAGCAGGGCCCTGGTGAGAGCTGCTCCCATCTCACATGCGAAGATGCAGTGTGGGGAAGGCCAGGGCCCAGCATGGCTGTAGGCTGGCTGCTCGTGGCCTACCCATAGGATATAGCTGCCTCTCTTTTAGTAGCACCTTCATCTCAGAGAGGGGAGGCTGCAGCATGGGAGTCCAGCTGCAGGATGCTAAGCGGTGGGGAAGGATTGCATCACTCATGGGCTGGACTTGCATGCCTCTGCCCTGGGCTGTCTGCAGGACTTCCAGCCTTTGGAGAGATGGAAATCTGTCAGGACCATGCTTATCCCAGCCTGTTGATTTCTCTTTTTTCAGGAAAACGTTCTCCAAGTCTTGCTGTCTGCAGACTTAGAAGAATTCCAGCATTTCACCAGCTGGCAGGAGGCAGGTGAGGCCTTGTGCCCCCCCGGGGCGGGAAAGGCAGCTGCTTCGTGGCTGCGATCCCCAAGGCTGCTGCCTGGGGGCTGCTGCTGAAGGCGGGTCTGGAAGACGAGTCTGGGAGCCAAACCTTCGGCCCCAAAGGCCGTAGGATGGACAGCAGCGGGTGGTCCGGGGCTTGGTTCCCAGGCAGGTTTCTGCTTCCTCGGAGCTGGAATTCAGCCTCTGGAGAGCAGAGAGCACCGTGGTGCCGACGGGCGCGCGGTGCGCTTTGGCTTAAGTGTCTCTCTTCTGCTCTTCCCGCTTCCTCCTCAGAGCAGCGCGGCAAAGCGGAGCTGGGGAGCAGCCGGGCCGCGCTGCTCCCCTGCGCCGAGAGCTCGCCGCGGGCCTCGGGGCGCATCCAGCCGGGCGCCTTCGCAGGGGGCGCGTCTCGCTGAAGCAGGGCGC